TCCCTAGATAGCAGAACTATAAAAATACAGGGTTAAGAAATCATAAGTTTCTCCTTTACAAGGAAATCAAAAATGTTTTTCTCTTTGTAGTGACAGAATTCAGAATTGAATGTACTGGGCTGACAATTTATTTCACAGCGGTTCTCATCATGAAACATTTAAGGGCCCATCTCATGACTTCAGTCAAGCTAGATCAGAAATTAAAAGGGATAAGAATCTTTATCTGCAATGATATGACTTCTTCCAACATAATTACCAATCTTCTGGCTCAAGGAAAGAATGCCCTCAAACTTAGTGATCACGAGATCACCATTGCCATATACCAGTATTATATAGCATCTTCCACATGTATCTCTTCTCATTCTGATGTATATAGCTGTCAATGGCCAGCATGATATATTTAGATGTGTATATACAGAGGTAATTTATAAAGCTATAAAGCAGGTGGCATGTCTATATACATATGCTGACCATGACTATCCATAAAAGAACATGCATACACCCGTCCCTCATGAAGAAAATAAAGTTGTAAATACTGAACAAAGCTTTAAGTGCACCCCCTTCTCATTTTTATATGCATACACCCACACACAAGCAAGCCATTTTATTAAACATTGACACTATCTTTGTAATACTCCAGGCTGCCCATCCAATCTACTTACGGAGTAAATAAACTTGACATTGTGTCACTTCTACAACTAATTTTTTTTTCTACCCTGGTTCTGAACTGTTCTTTCTTTCCTTCTGTCAGTGCTGGGAAAAATACTCAGAAGAGTTTTCTGAGTGTATTCAATTAAAATTAAAATAAACTCATGTCAGCCATGCCTAGACTCTTTGGGTGTGCTTTCCACAAACATCCAGAGAATTAATGTTAAACTCTTATGTCTACAAATATACATGGAAAATTTGTTGCATGTGGTAAGAAGTACTACTTGACACAAGCATGACAATTCTCCCCAAATCCTACAGCAGATCCTTTGCAAAAGGGCATTTGCTTGAGCCAAATATCTGATTCATCCTTTGCATCCAGCACATACACAAGCAGCTGCTTATTATTAAATTAAAATCAGCACACAGACAATTTGTTTTACCTTAGCCTAATTCTTAGGAGGTAACAATGCATAAGGCAAGAAAAAGAAGGCTTTCTAAAGTCAACTGATTGCTTCTTTTCTCTTGCTCCCTCCTACTGCATTGCTACATCTCCTTGAGACATTCAAAGCTGACATGGCCTCTGGAAGTCCTCCTTCTAAGACAAATCTGGTAAAACTTAGACAATGGGTTATTGAATATTCCCATTGAAGAGGTCACCATCAGCACAATGAATATAAACATTCTGGAGGGGATAGAGTACATTCAAATAATTTACTTTTCATTCCATCCAGGAAGAGCACACACCAACTGCTGCAGCTTCCTGAGCCTGACGAAGGGTTTTTGAACCCGAAAGCTTGCTTAATAACTATTCTCCAACCATTTGGGTTGGTCTAATAAAAGACATCAAATTCACCCAAGGAACCTTGTCTTCAAATAATTAGTATATTGATCCAAACCATAATTTACTCCCTTTTGATTACAGAAGCAGATTCAGGCTTCTATAATGAAATCTTGATTTTTTTTTTAAAGGCCTTCAACTCAGTTTGGATCCAGCTGCTGTGGAATTACTATGGAAAATGGTTTCCTCCAGCAAAATCAAAAATGTTTATTGAAAAGGTTTTTTCTAATGTTCCATTATTCATTAGGGTTGTTTGCCTAGAAGAATACTGAGTAGCCAGTCCAAATGGCTTGAATAGAATTAAGTACATTATCCCTCTATGCGGTATTTGCCCATTCTTCAGCCTTTTTCAGTAAGCAGGATAGCATTCTTTGAAAGATCGGTACTTAAAAGGACCTTTTGTGTTATGCTTTATTATTTAGTGGATTTCTAGAGTTGCCAATGAGGTGATAGCAGCTGCTAAGTAAAAGAAAACTCAATACAAACCACATGTTTATGTCTTTGCATATAGCTCTGGGCAATGAGGCCCTGATCCAGATCCTATTAAAATCAGTGGGAGAACTTCTAAGAAACAACTAGGGTAAACGAGTGGGTCCCTACTGTGCAATACAAAATAAAACTTCCGCAAGAAGTTGAAAGTTACCACACACTCCACAGGACCGAGTGCTTCACATCCTTTTGGCTTTCACCAACTCTGCCATGCAGGAAGAAGAGCCACATGCTAATGCAACTGTAAAATGTTGCTGCAAAGCCAAGTGTAATGGCTTCTTTGCTTTTATCTCACCCGTTTTTGCATTCTTCATCCAAAGACACTGTTTCTTCCTACAAACATGAACTGCTCATCTTTGCCTTTAAGCCCCTCTTGGTCTGTTCCCCCTCTTGCCATTCTCTGTCTGAGACTACTGATATGTCAGCTTCTGTCTCAACCCTACCAATGATTGCAGCCTTCATAATGTCACAACCCAAGGGTATGATTTTTGCTTGTCTGTGCTTCGGCACTGCTAAATTATTTCCCGCCACTAAGAGCTTTCTTTGCAGGGTGCATTTCTAGGTTGCAAAAGAGAAATGCACGGTGCAAGGAGTTCCCGCCATTCGCATGCAAATTTATGTCCCACTATTGGCCAGTTCTAAATTATTCCCACGTGGCGGCTAGTGATTGGCTTGCTAGCCGTATAAGAGGCTTGAGTGGTTTCCGCCCGAGTTGGAGAACTCCAAGGAGAACCACGTAAGGGAGGACTCCACAACCATCTGGAGGAGGAGAACTTCACATCTCGTGAAGATCTCTAAGCGCTGTGGAGCCTAACGGACCCAGCGCGTATCTCAAGAAGGCTACAGGGGTCTGATCAACCTCTGGCCTCTCCCCGTCACCAAACGATCCCTCGACGAACCCCTTCCCCGCGCGCAAGTTCCACGGAGCCTAGCAAACTTCGTGTGAGTGTATTCAGAGCTCTCTGCTTCGAGTTATTTTCTTCGGTTGACATGATGGGCTTGCGGTTTAGAGCCTTCAACCAGATTGGGCTAGAGGTTCACGTGGAAGGAACTCTTGTCCGCCTCTCTTCTTTTCTGTCTGTAACCGCAACTCAAGCAAGTTTTCCTGCCTGCACCGCGACCATCTTCGGTGTAAGTAAAATAATCTTAAATCAACCGCTAAGCGTCCGTACCTAATTCTGGTCCGCCGGCCTGCATTCCCCGACCCGGTGTGTCCGGGCTGCTGGCCACAGCCCGCTGCGCGCCCCCGAGGGCCTTGGACCGCTCCCGGCCCATACACATAACTCATTTGTTACATTTTTAAGCTAGTATTTTTGTGTTTTCTTCCTTGCTCATGGCTAAGAGAAACTCCCCATAAATGTCTAAACTCACTGGCATCCTTCAAATAACTCCTAAAACTTTCCTTTGCTATGACACCTGCAAAAGCTTGACAGCAGTTGCTGAGCCAATAATAATGCCTGGCATGCTGACTGAGAAAATCTCATTGTTTTCTTGCCGTTCCTTTGTCAGCCATTGATTGTCTCTCATTTTATACTCCCACTGTATAGTGCCTAGTACAATGAGGCCCTGCTTCATAAATGGGGCTCAAAAAGAAATGAGAGACCAACAAAAACACACATATATTAAAGGAGGCCATTATTGCACATGTAGTATCATGGTCTTATTTACAAAACAATAGTTTTGAGGAAAAGTAAGCACACTAGGGCACAGGTAGACTCGATATACTTCTCTTCTAGTAAGTTTCAGGAAATATACAAGTGGTCAGATGAGAAAAGCATGCAACTGGCAATCATGAACGTAGGGACAAATATGCCCTTTTGGTTTGTCCCAGAGCTCAGGCACCAATAAATAAGTGAAATAAGAAATAGCTGTGTGTTGGAAACTATCCTGAGAACTGGCATGCAGATGAGCATGGCAAGCTGCCTGCTTTACTTTCCAAGTGCAGTTGGAATTACTTTATAGCCAGAACAGGAACTGCAGGAATGGTATGTGTTTTATAAAACTGGCCCAAGCTTCAGAGTTTAGAGCCTGATCTGAATTTTGTAACATCAAGGCTTTATTTTCACCCATAAGTGAGAGCAGGGCAATTATGACACTTGTTTACACTTCAGTGAAGCTTGGATGTGCATAGCTCCAGAATTTTGTTTCATACCCATCACTCCAGCACTACGTCCAGAAACTGATCTCTCTCTCTCTCCCTTTCTCTTTCTCTCCCTCACACACACGCACACACACCCTCCCTTTCTGCTGAAGCTAACAAGAGTGGAGGACATGCCACACCTTGCAGAGGACATTTGGCCTTTCAAGATCTGACACACTGGATGTGCCACCATAACACTCTAGGACAGGGCTGCCCAATTTTTAAGCAGTCAGGATGGCATTCTCCCCAGGCCACACACACAGTAGGGACACCCCCCCTCCCTAGTGCTGCAGTGCACTTGCATATGTGCCACCCCTTCCATCACCATTGCAGTGTGTACCCAAATGGCCCCAGCCTCATACTGAGCTCTCTGTCCTACACTGTGCCGTGGGTCAGGTGCCAAATACAGAAGCCAAAAGAGGGAGTTGGAGTCAAGAGATACAGCCAGAGAAATAGGAGAAATAGCAGCTTGGCAGGAGCCCGGGGTGGGGGGGCGGGTAGGGCACAATTTAACCCCAAACAGGCTGCCAGTCAGACTGCCCTGTTCCAGGACAGGGAAACCCTTTAACTGGTTTTGTCTACGCTCACTCATTTGTTCTTCAATGTTGTGCCAGCACCACTTAAGAAAATCGTCACCTTTTCCATTACACCATGAATTTGACTAAGTCACAGGATTAAAGTTGGTGATAGATGACATTTGAGAAAGCTCAAATGTAATGTCAGACAAAAGACA